CTTAAACTGGATTTACAGTGCAGACTCAATATTTATTTCTTACTATAATTAAAGTAGCTGTTTCAGTTAAGGTTTCAGCTTGGAACTTATCTTCTGATGTATCCTGGCAGAGTAAGGTGAATTGCATCAAGAGGCATCATCATGGGAAGTTCCAAAGAATCATCCTTAGTATTTCTTAGTCATGCTAATGTATAAAAGCATCTTATAATTATTGGTAATGCAAATAATGTGCATAACATTTTCATCAATATGATGCAAGCTTGTATTAGCATTCCAATCTAATTCAAACTAGTGTGACCCAAGCATCTTCTCTTCATCTGCTTTTTAAATAATAAATTACTGAAAGCTTTCTGGCTAGTTTTTGTGCTTCAGGATACCTGTTATTCAAATCACAGATATCCAGGAAACTTCTAGGTTCAAAGAGTCCATGGTTATATTTCTACAAAGTAATAATAGTAAAGTTTAAAGGGCACCAATGCTCAAAAGCAATAGTCAAGAAAAATCTAATTCAGTGATGGCAAGTTCTTTCAAAGGCTCTATGTGATGAATGGTAAGGAAAGACTTTATGAATATAAATTAACACAGCAAGATTTATATAAAACTATGTGTATATAAGCTTATGAAATAATAATATAGCCTTAGCTTAATTTCCTTACTGATGTAATGTACGATGAGTGTACATGTATTGCTCAAGAAAATTGCCAAATAGAGAACAAATTATTTATAAACATCAGTGGAGGCATGCTGAATAAAACTTGCATTTTCCCAATGTGCAAATCTTTCACTACAAGCATTACTTTCAGGACTAAAACTGGAAAGATTGCTGTAAGAAGCATAAAGAACTATTTTCTTTATAATAGTTCTTTCTTCCCATAAAAATATAAATGTTTCCTTTTCATGCTCAGTCCATGTCATACTACAATGTCTTCTAGTATTTTTCCCATTTTTCCTATTTGTGAACGAATTTAGTAATTTTTTTTCTCTTCTTCAAAAACTTATTTTCAAATCAGTTATGGACTAAATTCCTTGTTTAAATTGTGCTGTAGGACACATTTTCTAGTTTTAAAATGGAAACTATTACGGCAATAATTTCAGTATCTCAATGCATAAGACTTTAATAATTCAATAAAATTTGAGATCATACTTGAGGATTGCTCAAGAACAATTTAAATCTATTGCCATATTTTTTTCTTGCCCACATCTCAATAATCTTAGAGGATCGCTTGCTTTCTTTAGCTGTTCTAAATGGCTGAATGACTACTGAATTTGTATTAGCAAATACAGTTTCTGTACCCAGGATGTAACAAACGTTATTCTAACCTCCCTGTGAGTAAAGTTGATAACCTATACTGTGTGTTATCAAGCTATTTAATAGGGAATGAGTTCTAGTTTAGTTGAGGTTGTAGGGAACCCTTTTGGAACCTTTATTAACAAGAATTAATTGAGAACGTGTTTTGTATACTGTAGAGATATGTTATTTTCCTAAGGGTCTGGATAATTACTGTTGCATTAATTACATGAAATTAAGATTTCAAGAAATTGAGTGTCCCCACATGGTGTGTAGCTTATGATACTGTTTCAGTCTTTGTTGGCAAAATAACTCTGTAAAAGCTAGTTGTTCCTTTTCTTTTCCTTTTGATCTCTGTCTTTGTAAAGTTCTTTTATCTACCACACCATTACTTTGTAATGTAAAAATTTGAACTACTAGTCTAGTCTATATACACTTTTGTTTTTCAAGTAATACATTTTCTTTAAAGGAAAATACCTGAGCTTTGAGAATCTCTTATTGCTGTTTTTCTCATCCTTTTTTTTATTGTGAGACATCTCATTCTTCTGAGAGAAAATAAGATGTAATGCTTTTAAGAAGAGTCAGATAGGAAGACTTGCCTTTGTCCCTTCCTCTGCAGCTCATGTTAAGCCTGTGCCTGTATTCTCAAGCTGGGATCCCTGGGTGCATATTTATTATTTCTGGCTGCTCAGGCTCTTATCCTGCACATGGGAGTCTGCAAGTGCACCTCTGTGTTTATATGAAGCTCCTTAATGCCATCGTCTGTGCATTGTTGCTTACAGGGCTAGACTCTAGCAGTGGTGGGCTGGCCTTCCTAACAAGGAATGAAGTTAAATACTTGAGATACTTGATACATGACTGTGAATGCTTCAGGTTGGATAAAGTTGAATTTCCTTTTATATTCCAGGTGGATACTTCACAGAGATTTGAAAACCAAGAATATATTTTTGAAAAATAATCTTCTTAAAATTGGTGAGATTTCCATACTTTTTAAAGATCTATTCTAGTACAATAGAACAGTCTAGCAGATATTTTGTCAGTAAGGAAATTTAAATAAAGTAATGTCTGATATAGCATATTGATTTGTGGTCAAACATTTATTTGAAGGTCGTTTATTTGAAATTCAAACACAAGAACAGGGCACCAGAGAGGCAGTGAAATCTCCAGCCTTGAGGGTGCTCCAAGCTTGGCTTGACCTGGGCCTAAGCAGCCTCATGTAACTTTGAAGCTGACCTTGCTTTGAGCCAAGGGTTTGAACCAGATGACCTTGTGAGGCCTCTTCAAACTTCCATCAGTCTATGATTCTATGACTTTGTAGAGCTTTTATTTTGAAAAATTAAAGAAAATTGTTTTTTCCATACTTTAAAATAGTCACAGGGTTGTTTTTTTTTGACATACAGTCTTTGTATCATATCTAACAATAAACACAAAGAGTTTATATGGATAGATATAGATTTATATGAATAGATTATTGTTTCTGCTGTTACTTTTAGGGGACTTTGGAGTTTCTCGTCTTTTGATGGGTTCATGTGATCTGGCAACTACATTTACTGGGACACCATACTACATGAGTCCAGAAGCACTGAAGCACCAGGGATATAACACAAAATCTGACATTTGGTGAGTAGTCAGCATGGTATTGTGGTTGGATTAGGTATTTATTTTCTAGGCCAACATTAGATGTTATTTGAGAACTATCTTTTTTTTTTTTTTAAATGGCCCTTTCAGTAAGATGCTCACACTACTCCCCTAAAATTCTTACAGGACATTTGTATCATATCCTGCAATTTGAAGGTTTGATCTTTGTGTTAGGAAACATGTGGTTTGTTACTGTTCTGGGTTATCTGGGACTTCAAAGGAGAGTAAGATTCAGGTCCAGTCTATGCCATGACACAGGATGATCGTAGACGAAGTTCAGGTTTTGTTAAGGGAAGGGGAAATCTTTTTCTTTCTCATATTGAGTTAGATGAATGGAAAGAAGCAATTCTCTGTGAAACTTCCAAG